GCTGAGGTTGTGGTGGGTGGGAATTGCAGATTGTTATAGTCGTTAGGTAGATAGGTTGATGGACGCATAGCCAGGTGCAGAGAGATATGTCATTTATATAGGTTTTGTGTGTGTATGTGCGTGCATGCGTATGTTACAGATTAGTTATCCACCAAAGAGAGCAAATAGAACGAACAACTTATTCCGAGAGCCATATGCGCCTTTTTTGTTTCCATATACAGTCAAACCTGCGTATAGCGGTCTCTCTCCCTCCCTCTAACAGCGTCTAAAAGACCAAGTTCCGGAAGATCTACGCATATCATTATCAATATTTTTGTAGAAGTAAATAAAAGTGCATTACATACCAAGGAGACCATTCTAGGAAGTTGGTATGGCTATTCCCTTCTTTCTTTGTAATTTTATTTCTAAATATGACAGTCGTACTACTTATTGTACTTTGTTTGGAAACTATAATAAAATACAGTATATATATATATATATATATATATATATATATATATATATATGTGTGTGTGTGTGTGTGTGTGTGTGTGTGTGTGTGTGTGTGTGTGTGTGTGTGTGTGTGTGTATGTGTGTGTGTGTATATATATATATATATATATATATATATATATATATATATATATATATATGTATATGTATATGTATATGTATATATATATATATATATATATATATATATATATATATATATATACATATACAAATTCTAAAATCACGATTTCATTTCATTATAGAAACGTCTTTTGCCCGCAGACCCACCAGGCGTTCTGCAGCGGGATGAACGTGCGGAGCCAAGGGTGCCAGACGGGCGAGCTGGAGGCGAGTCCGCCGGTGATCGAGTGGCGGATCCAGATGTCCACGGAGGAGCTGAGCCGCGCCAGCCCGACCCTGGAGGACGTGGCGACGCAGTGCAGCTTCGCGGGCGAGGGCGAGTGGCCCCGCGTGTCGCGAAGCCCCTCGCAGCGCTCCGCCTGCCAGGTGCTGCAGGTGTCGGGGGAGGTGTGCGTGCGGGACGCCAGAGCTCGCCTGGCGGGGCGCACGCGCGTCGAAGCGGGGCGCTCACTCCCCGCGCTCCTGTTGGTCCTCCTGCAGATGCTCCTGTGGCTGCCGCTGCCCATTTCGGCTCTCACGCTCTACTTCTCCTCGTGCAGCGCGACGTGGGCGTGGCGAGTCCTGCTGGTGGTCCTCACCGTGACGAACCTCTCCCCCGCGCTGACGTCTGCGGTGTACCTCGTCGCCGCACGGTGAGCCCGCGGCCGTTCCAGGACGGGCCCCGTCCGCGCCTTCGGCCGCCTCGCGCTTTAGCCAGCTTGTACATATAGTGACACATGCCTCGCCTTGTCCCAAATGACCTTTGTGTATATGTAGTTAGAGGTAAACATAATAATGTATGTCCTGTGTACGGATCCTTTCGATTTTCGGAAATATTGGTGTTATATGTTTATCACGAATCTCTTGTATACATGTAAATCATTAACGTTCCCCAATCGCTGCAAGATCAACTTCTAATTGCTCCTCAATGTCAATATTTCAGAAAACAGTGATTGTGAGAGCTCTCCGGTTTCCCTTGAGTTGTCAGTACGTTTCTTCACTTACCAAAGTATGTTAGATATTTCTTTGTATTCCTTCCCTTAGACTGATGTGTAAGAAGCACCCGGAAATGTAATTAATGGGAAATCGCAATGAAAGTTTTATGATATAATTAAAGGCCGCTCTCCCGGCCCTCCCCTCCTCTCTCTCTCTCTCTCCCTTCCTTTAGAAAATGAGGATTTTTTCACAAACAATGTAATTATTCATGACCTGATTTTTTTCTTATTTACATCAGTATATGGGTACATTTAAAGTTAGCAGCCGGAAATCTGAAATGTAATTAGAGTTTTATAATATGCTAGATAATACGGTTAAGATAATGTTGTGCTACTACAAGTAAAATGGATTTTAGTAAATACGCTCAGATTATTTAATTTTATACATGCATAATCCTTGAAGGTTAGTATACTCTCACCTCTTCTGGCGTCGTTTTCTATGATGGGACATCGTGGGTACACTAATTTATATTTACCTTTGTCCCATAAAAGTACTTCTCTTGCTTTCGGTATTTAGTGTAGCGAATTCCCAATTTGGAAAATCATACACCAGGTTTTTTTTCAGAAAATGTAGACATATGGATATCCGCATATGATATATTACACAGATATTGAATGGCACACTCAGCAGCACACGAAAGCGAACGCGAGGTAAAGCGACTGTGTGTCCATCTGCATGACGCCACACTCAAAGGTGCTTCCACTCACGCACACTTAAATATTGGCGAAAGAGAGGAGGAGAGAAAGGAAAAGAAGGAAGAGGAAGGAAACAGACACTACTGGCTTTAGTTATGGAACAACCGTTATGTCTATTGTCATTACGAAATTTCAACCCATTCCGGATCCAATCCATAACTGTTATAATAATATGTTCTGCACAAAACGAACTACATGCTGGCTTTATTCCCGGC